ACAAGGGGACAGAGTGAGAACAAGAAGACAAGAGAGGAACAAGAGATCAGGAGAACAAGAGAGGGAGGTGGAGGCAAGAAGCTCCTTTTTTCCTGGGGCAGCCCTATCTGGCTGTTGCCAGGTAACTGTAGGGATGGAGATTAGACAGAATGCCAACATTCCCCTGTATTGGTTTAATCAAAACAGAAAAAAATAGAAAAAGGCAATAGTAGATCAGGAATAGGATCATCGAGATATCTTGCTCCTTCATGCTGACATTTCGGTGACATGTCTCTAGGGAACCTGGAAGAATGGTATGAGGGCTGTTTGTCCAGTCTTGGGAGAGTTGGCTGTTTCCTTGGTGCCCAGGGTCTGTGGAGCTATCTGAGGATAGGTCAGAAGGAACAGGTTTGGTAGAAGCGTCTTGTGTCTGAGAGGAGATCGGAGCATCTGTAGGTTGCTTCTCTGGAGCTGTCTAGATGACGTAAGCCCCTGGACTTGACAAGATGTTATCTGGGTGGATCTATTTGGTCCATGAGTTGTAGATCTGAGTGGGTTTCCAGTAGCTTATACATTTACAAAAGAGATAAAAACATGAGTTAACAGCATGGACATTCTTTAAGATGAGCCTTTTTGTGGAGCAGAAGGAACAAAATTTGTGACTAAAATGTTGAATTGTAGGTCTGGAGAGATGGTTCAGAGGTTAAAAGCACTGACTGCTCTTCAGGAGGTCCTGAGTTCAACTCTCAGAAACCACATGGTGGCTCACAATCATCTTTAATGGGTTCTGATGCCCTTTTCTGGTGTGTCTGAAAATAGCAACAATGTACTCACATATATAAAATAAATCTTTTAAATAAGTTGGATTGTATAGTGGAATGATTTGTTTGAGTTAGGCAAATTTATAAGAACTTGAATAATGTTAGGACATTAGTGGCATAGCAAGAAGAGGAAATATAAAGCATTTAATTAATGGAAACAGAGTTAAGTAATGAGATTAAAGAGTACATCTATGACAGCTTTTTCTAGTTGTCAAGCTATAGTTACCTGAGTTGTCAATGTAGTCAGAAGTCTGAGAGAGAATAAAGAATAATCTACCAGTCATGTTATTTAAAAAAATGACAGTGTCTACTAGATAACAGTTTTCTTTGGTCTCTATGGTGTCCACGGCAACTGGGTGGAGTCAGTCTGGCTTTCAAGAGCAGAAGATGCAGGTCTTTTTCTCTGTGGAATGGATATGCATGACATGAGAAATAGCTTACCTTGATTTAGCTAAGTCATTTGACTCAGGTTATCCATTTTTGTCCACTGCAGTTTTTCAGTGATTATCATGTCACAGTCCAGGCAGTATCTTGTATCTCTGTCTACACCTTCTGAGATTTCATGGGGTTAACTGTTAAGGGCTTTGGGAGATTCTGTATGTCATAAACTTAATAATTATCAGACTTCTTACAGGATTGAGGGCAATATTGATTGGTTATAACAGAATAGAATTTAATGGCAGTAGTAAAATCACCTATCAAAACAGAATAGAAATGAAAATCTTAAGTAACTTTGGGGGTTGTGTAGGTAGAGAAAAGAACGTTTTGCATTAGCAGATAAACATTTGGCAAGAACCAGAATAAGAAAGCTGGCAGTAGTGACATAAAACCATGGTAAGAGAAAATGAGTTTGTTCAGGCAGTTTCAGACTTGTGACACAAACTGAGCACTCAGGTCATGAGAACAGACCAGGGATGTGGGAGCGTGGATAGGTAGGGGACCTCTTTCCATTTACCAGACAGCTGGAGTATGAATGAAGTTCTCTTAAAATAATTGGATCTAGCGTGCCATTTGTAGCTATTATCTAGTGGGCACTGAATCCAGATCTTCTTGCAGAGATGTACTAGTTTTGATGCCCTCAAGTTGGGCGTTAACTTCAGAGATTTGAGATTTTCCAGGAGACATCCCAGTGGGGTGCCTAAAGATATGTTCGAAGACAATTTAGGGCCCATTGGGTGATGAGGATGTGACTGAACTATTTGTATTGGGGTCCTGAGAAGAATTCAATTATGGGTCACGAGTGTACAGTCAAGCTATATATTCAGGTTGTCTCATGAATAACTAGGGGCTATGACAATGTCCTGGAATTGCCAGAAAACAGTCCAACCTAGATCTATGAATTCTGGAACAGCTGCAAGAGCGCAAGGGATTATGAACCTCTTTGGAGAACGGAAGTCACCCAAGGATCTGGATGGGGCACTGAAATGTGGGTGTTTAAGGTTTTTTTTTTTTTTTTTGATTCAGTGGCAGGAAACTTGGAACTGAGTGGTTGGTGTGGGCCCATCTGACTGGGTAACCCACATGGCAGAGGCTAGCTCCACGTGATGGACACCGATGGGCAGTACCAGTTCCCGTGGGAGATGTAGAAATTTAATCAATATGCATACTACTGTGTTCATACAGTGATCTTCAACAAGAAGTTTGGATTAGAATGCCCAAGTAAACAGCTGTCCAGGTCTCATTCATGAAGATTCCTGTCAGCTGGAATAGACTCTTCCAGGGCCATTGGAATTCTGGGAAAGCCCCCAAACAATTCTTCATATTTTAGCCAATAGAAAAGTAATCTTAAAATAAGCAAGAAAACAGAAAATTGGATGGCAAGTGTAATTTTTAGCTGGGTACCTAGTAAGACTTGTGTGAAAAAGAGAACCACACCCAGGATTCCTAGGGCTGTGAACAGCAGACACACTATGTCTGTATTCATGGGCTTCCTGGCTTTCCCTCATGTGTCTTGGCATTCTTCCTAGGGCCATAAAGCTGCCCTGAATCACGTGTAGATGGGAGCAGGTACACACATAACTCACATTCTTCTGCTCTGAGGAACTCTGGCCATGTTATACCACCTCCCATTAGTCCCATGGGCTGCCTCATTCTTCCCCTAGAATCCTTGTGCTCCACACGGCCAGTGGCTGACCTATGACCTATCTGTTGGCTCCCCTCCATGACATCCTGAGTACTTCCCAAAACCACAACAGCACTCAAATTTTTCTTGGGGTTGATTTGTGTTTGTGTGTGTGTGTGTGTGTGTGTGTGTGTGTTTCTCTGTGTGTGTATGTGTTAATTAGGGAGTTAGCAAAGATAACATGCAAAACCTCTATGACTATGATTATGTATACACACACTGAAGACTGTCATGTCTTATTGAAGAATGGATCCTATTTTATCCTATAATGCTATTTCTTGCAGACTGTATATATGACAGTCATGTAGTCCCCACATGTTCTTCCAGTATCTGTTTACTATACTTGTCTCCTGTCTTTTCCATTGTGTTTCCACTTGGAATGTATACTAATCACACCTCCCCTCACCCAAGTAAACTGCAGAGTCTTCTACCATGCAGTGGAGGTCTTAGTCACAGGGTAGGGGACATGACAGAGCTTTCAATCAAAATGGAAATGCTACTGGCTTAGAGTTTTCTAGTTAGTGGTGGGATCAAAGATTGTGAGGCTTGGATCTTACCCTGGCACCAAGACAGGAAGTGCCCAGGCCTTCTAATCACCTTCCCCAGATATGGAGCCAGAGGGGAAGGAAACAGGTGAGGCTTAAAAACCACCAGGAATCAGAGGTCACAAAGTGGAGTCAGACTCCATGTTGCTCAGCACACAATTGGGTTTTGGCTTTTAAATCCAGTCTGGAGATTGTTGTTAACTAATATGTCTAAAGCTTTTTTATTTAGCAAAATTATTCACAGGGTGAATTCAAATCATTACTTTCGGGAATATTAATTTATTCCTTGCATGATTTTCCATGTCAGCTTTCTTTGAGGGTGACAAATTCATTTCATCTACAAAACTCAATTAATACGTAAACCTCTTAATCAAAGAGGTTATTTTTGTTTGTTTGGTTTAAATCTGATGACAGGCACTACAATAAAGATAAAGGAATTGCCCTTTGTTAAATAATATTCATATCTTGATATATTATATATTATATATTCAAGTACCATCATACCAATTACATGAAGCTGAATAACTGCCTGTTACTGTAAATTATTCTCTCCCACCATTCTCCTAATCTTTCAGGTCCTTCCATCCTGTTCTCCTGCCTCTCACAGAGAGTCTCTCTCCTTACCTTCACTTTTCACTACAAGTAAATTTCGGGTAGATGGTACCTTGTATCTGTTGATGAAGGGACAGGTTCTGGAAGCAGTCACTGTAGCTCTGATCTAATCCTAACGTTAGTGAGACATCATGTTTGCAGTCTTGGAATTAGGGTCTTCTCAGTTATCCTGCCTCTCCCAGGTACTGAAAGATCCCTAGTGCTTTCACTCAGGACTGTGCACTGCACTCCATTTACAGAAAGTAGAACATCACATTTCTGTTTTCCTAGCCTCAATGGGTCTTCACAAGAGCTCTGGGAACAGAGGCTCCCATGCTATTTTCACAGAGGTAGTAGGATTTTGTTTCATTTTGTAAAAAAGTTTGTGCAGTATTGTATGCCTGGATCCTCAGAGACAGGCTTTGTCCAGCCTTGCTATCTGCTGTCAATCGTACTCATGTACACCTTGCAGACCTCCGTGGAGAACTCTGTGCTGGTTGGAAAGTTCCCTAAGTTTGTGGTTCTCAAGGAATTGATCATCCTACTCTTTCCCACAAGTGGAGTTTGGCAATGTGATCAAGATGTCTACCTAGAGGTGAATCATGAGATAATAATCATATCATACCTCTCTTCCAATCAGCTGTCTTCCCTCAGAGTGAAGCAAACATTCCCCAAATCTTCCCCTGAACAGATGGTTTTCTATGTCAGCATCTATCTTCATCCTCCTAACCCCACATCCATGAAGATAAGATTCATCTTGAGTGCAAGACACAACCCTGACTTGATTTCTAAAAGGAAATTTATTTTCAAGTTGAGATACACATATCCCCACTGTACAGTTCTGTAGTTTCCTCTGTAAGATCCATCTTTGGTGAATAGCCTTCCTTTGTGGAATAGCTCCATCTTTGCTTCTCTGGTCCAGAGCCTGGCAGGACCTCCCATTCATTTATGTTCAGTGTGTTCTGTGTGTTCAGGATGATCCGTCTGAGGTGGATTGTTAGCCAGGAGCTCATTCCAGAAAGCCACTTCTTCCCCTTTCAGTCTCTGGGCTTGCTGGGTGGTGGCACCAATCTGCAGATAACCTTCCATCTGATCATACTCTGGCCAGTGTGGCCGTCCCTCCCCATTAGGGTTCCTGGGAACAGAATCAAATAGAACAAAATGCCTCATGACTGCTCTGTGGCCCTCCTTCTCTGTGAGGTCTGAATGCATGCCTGGTTTATCTCAGCAGAGAGCCTGACAACTTGTATATAGAGCTTTCATCTTTGGAACATCCCATGAGATTCTGAAAACTCTTGCTATAGAACAATAATGTTAGACAGAATGGTCAGAGCTTTTATCACTCAGACTTCAGAAGTCATCTTTCCTAAATGATATTCCCAGCCACACCCTATCCACCCTTTTCTCTTTGCCACAAGCCTCACCCATTTCGAGCAAAGTTGGCCCAGAATTTCATCACCATCTTGCTGAGGTTAGTCTCCTCTTCTGAGGCACCATCTGTGGGGAAGGGAAAAAATGTATTACTGCTGGAAGTGTGAACCAGATAGCTTCATCTAGGAGGTTGTTAGAAAGTCAGAAAGAGATGTTCACTCCTTAACCACTCAGTCAAAAGCTCCAGTGTGAGAAGATCCTGGGTAATCACTGTGCATGTTTGGGGGTTGAAGGTAGAGACTGATCTGTGACCTGGCAGTGGGAATGTGAGCATGGGCCACAAGTCTCCTTTGTTGTCTTTGTTCATCTGCCTTCCCTTCCTTCCCTGGGGTCAAAAATGTCATATTCAGAGTTCCCTTTGTTTTGGAGATTTGCTTTTGAGTCACTTACACACAGTATTATCATTAATAGACTATAAAAGATATCAGAACCATAAACAACTAAGAAATATTCCAGCTAGCAAATTCCCATAAGTAGTCATGACCTGGGGTCATAAATTTATGCAAATGATAAGAGTTAAGACACTAAATACATCTGTGAAACATTTTTTTAAATAACAAATTATTGGGCTAGAGAGATGGCTATGTGTCAGGGTACTAGTCACAATTAAGACATGAGAGTCTCTGTTATACTACTGGGACTCATAGTAGAAGGTAAGGAACTACTCCCATGAGATGTTTTCTGATCTCCATAAGCATCGGTGTACACATAGTCACACACACACATACATACACATACACACATATACATACACACAATTGCCCATACACTTACATACACCCACATACACACATGTACACATACAGAAAGGCCCACACATGCATGTATGCACACACACAAAAATTTAAATATCATGTTATTAACTATATCATAGATCAGTGAAGCAAGCCACTCTTTCTAGGAAAAGGAAGAGCAATAGACAGTTATGGAACGATGAGGGTAAGAAGGGTGGTACTAAGGTGATCAAGTGAAGAGAGGGAGGCAAGAAGATGTGGAAGAAGGTAATATGGGGAGAGACAGTTAAATTAAGGGCCATTTGAGATTTAGTATGGAAACCGAATACAGTAGAAGCTCCTTAAAATGTGTGCATATATGAAGTCAATCTAAATAAAATTGAAGACAAGTAAGGACAGAGACAAAAATCCCAACTGGGCATCTCTTGTCACTAAAAGAAGCTTCCAGTACCAGGATTGGGTTACATCTAATTGAGATGTTGTCCAAAGAGGTCTCATGGGAAACTCAAAACAACCCAGTCTCTTGTCCAGACTCTAGGCTGCTCTCCACAGGTTACTGGGAGGCCCCACTGCTGAAGACAATAGCCATACAAGTCATTGACCATGGAGATGTCAAGGTAGCGCCTACTGAGTGCCTTAACCCATCCACTCTAGTGTCTTTGGTACAGGAAGGTGTTCTGATGTTCCCAAAAGAGCAACACAAACCCCAAGTGAGTTACAAACCCTTTGATCAACAATGATGTCATGTCTGCCAGATGGTACAAAGCTTGTGGGAGGAAGCAACCAATATCTGATTTGGTGTAAGGTCCACTCCATAAGATGATAGAACCCATACCTGTCACTGATTGAATGAAGAAGAACCTGAGACTAGATAGCCCAAGGCCCTGGGCAAAGGCAAATACTACTTTTGTAAAAAAAAATTAATAAATGAATAAAATTTAAAATGTAATAACAAAAGACTTCTAATGATGGTCTGCCATACTCTTATATCTGTTTCTTGCACAGCCACCATCAAAGAAGCTTCCTCCAGCAGAAGATTGGAACAAATACAGAGACCCACAGCCAGACATTAAGCAGGGAATTTTCTGAAATATTAAATGGGTAGGCTCCAATCAATCCCTCTCCTTAGGTATCAGGGAACACTCCTGAGGAGGTGGAAAGAAGATAAGAGCCAGAGGGCATAGAGGACACTAATGAAATAAGACCCTATAATCACCAGGATGGACACACATGTGAATTAAAAGAGACTGAGGCAGCATGCACAGAGCCTTCACGGGACTCTACCAGATGGCATCCTAGAGATGAAAAAGTGGACACATGACCCCATCCCTAACCCAGCAGCCATATTTAATTGATAACCACTTGTAAATGAAAATTTAATTTCCTCCAAGGGAGTCTTACTGAGGAAACAAACTTTTTTTTAAGGTAAGGCAGCAAACAAGAGATGATGAACATAAAACAAACTCAATGACATATCTGGAGGTTCCTTGTCTTTTAATGACATTTTAGGGCTCCTCCTTTGTTTAAAAAACAACATTTTACTTTCATTTTCATTTAATTTTATTGATATATATTTTTCATTTTTTCTTTCATTCTACAGATCCTTTGCATATATATTATGGCTTTCAGGTCACAGTTTTAATGGAATTTTTGAGTGTGCAAATGAGAAGGTCTCTGTTTTTTATGATTTCTCTTGGGCTCTTTTCCTTCTGCTTGTTTAGTCATTTTCCATTGTATCAGTTTTTATTATATTTATTTTATTATTATTCCTTAGAAGCCTGTTTGTTTTCTAGTGAGAGACAGAAAAAGGGTGGAGCCACACGGGAGAAGAGGTGCGGAGGAGGAACTAGGAGGCATGAGGGAGGGGAAACTGAAATCAGGATATAGTATGGCAGGAAAGCCATCTATGTTCAATAAAAGAGAAAATATACATTGTATGTAAGAGATATATTTAGGTAGATAAATAGATTATGGAACACTTCAAGGTTTTGTGGGAAATTAAATTGTGCTAATCTAGACCTAGATCAGTGCCTTGTGCGTGACCAACCACCTCTCTTATTGATACCTCAGGTCATGATTCTTAGAATGATTATGGCTGGGTCCACATGACCTATCTTTATGTGTGATAGAACAGGAGAATGTTTGGGGACTACCTAATGGAGCTCAGTTCTGCTAAGGAATGCCAGGAAACTAGCATTAGGAGAAAAGGAGAAACTTGCTGAAGACCCCCAAACCAAGACTGGAGAACTCAGTCCTCCTGACTCCCAGAGGACACCTGGGCAAGAGCCAATACCTTTTAAAAATGGAGTCTCAAATACAGAGAAGATTTCATCTCCATGATCTCCCTGAATCATCTGGGGTCTCTTGTCAGACACGAAGCTTGGGCGATATTGAAACTCATACATGAAGGTGGGCACTCCAGCATCTGAGGAAACATGGATTTGAATACAGTTCATGTTAGCAGACACAGACTTGAGTGACACTGAGGTCTTCATCCCTGAAGAAGATAGTTGGTTACTAGTATAGGACAGAAGAAGCTTTTGGGAACCTCAGTGACCTGCTTGGTTTACACAGCTGGTTGAAGTAGACCTGGGATCTGAGCCAGGTGTTTATGGAATGCAGAATGAGTGGATGCAATGCAGACAGTGAGCACTTGGATGTGTTCAGTGATGATCCATGGTGCCCTGTCCTTCTGAGAAAATCTCTACCTGCTCATTCTCATCCTGGTTTTGAGCATCCTTAGTGCTAATATGTCTTTCAGAAATGAGGGAGAAATATTTTTTCCAGAGAAAAGCTTGTGGAGCTCGTTTTCCTTGCTGCTGCTTGTGAGCACTTACTAGGTTCCTTTAAACTGAAAGATAAGTGTACTGATGAGTAACATGTGGGTCAGCGGTGGAAACTCATGAACCAATGTTCAGGTCACTGTGAGATGGTAATCATAATTTGTAGGAATTTTTTTTTCTTACATAGCACAAGTGTTCTGTACAAAAATACTGCTAACAATGAATGTTAAAGTTCTCATTCAAAATGATACAAATTATGACACAAATACAAAAAAAAAACATAAAAAAAGCAATGCTGGAGAGATGACTCAGTGATTAAAAGAACTGAATACTCTTCCAGAGTTCAGTTCTCAGCACACACACAGCAACATACAATAATCTCTTAACTGAAATTCCAGGATCTGATGACCTCTTCTGGCCTTTGTTAGCACTAGACACAACTTACGGTGCACAGACATATATAGGCAAATATATTTATACACATAAAATGAAAATATTTTTAAATTAAAAAATAGATAAAATTGTACAATTCTTATATGAAATCATATTATATTGTCATCAACTTTAAGCAGGTTCTATGTGTGTGTGCAACAAGATGTACATTCTTTCTGAGTGCTCACAGCCCATTTGCTGGAATATATCATGCACAGGCACAAGAGGATCTTGCCTAACTTAGGAAGAACTATGTGTAGCTTCCACTCTGTCTATGCAGGCCTGAGTCAGTGATGGACAATCCTGTGACAGATCCAAAAACCAGTTTCACCTTCTCTAACCAGTGCACACCAAGATGGATAAAGGCATGTCAAGGAAATTGAAGGTCTCTACACTTCCTCTGCCTGTACTTCTTTCTACACTCTTTTTCTGGACTTTCTCATCTGAAAGAGGCTCTTTTGACCCTTAATTCTTTTCCTGACCCTGGTTTTTATTCTTTTTGTTTGTTTGTTTTTGGAACAATGTACTTCATGTAACACAGTCTGGAATTGAACTCTCTATGTAGCCAAAGAAAATCTAGTCTTCTCTTCCGAGCTTCTAAGTGCTGAAATTACAAACATGTACTACTAGTTCTGACTTATAAGGTTGCTCAGGATTGAATGGAGGGTATCCTACATTCCAGTCAGGCACTCTATCAACTGAGCTACATCCCTAACCTCATGTTCTATATATGTATATCTACATATATAAACTTACAGATACACAGACAGGTACACACTCCCAAACATTCACACCACACACACACACACAAACACACACACACACACACACACTCACTCACACAACTCTACTGAGAAGTAGGTAACTCAGAGACATGTTATTGAGTTCATGTCCTCCAATTTAATACCTAAGACTCACCTCTGAGGCTACGGGACATGAGCACAGATGGGATGCCAAAAAATATATCTCCAAACATTTCTAGAAGACGGTCTCTCTTTTTGGAAGGGTCATCTGTTCCATTTAAGTACTTCTCAGTGATTGCTGGAATCATACTCTCAGAGATGTTCTAAAATGGATCAGAAAATGGCCACTATCACCTGGAATCAATGTGTCTGCTGCAGTTAAGATGAGGTCATGACTCATGGATCAATAGGGCTTTGTACCAAACCTTCGTGCTATAATACAGAAGATTTTCTACATCTACTTCCTATATGTCATTATGTTTGGAGGTCAGGTGTCTCATAATTATTTTCTTTCATTTGCAGTGTTGGGAGAAAATACTTTGCCTGGTACCACCTGATAGCATAGAAACTCTTGTCTAGTGAATCATATGGCAAGTTGTCTCTAGTGGAAGTAAATATTCAGTATCTTCCCCTGTTCTATAGGGAAAGATACCTTTTGTATGCTAGCAAATAGAATAGGCTATATCTAGGTAATGAAATAAGAAAAGACATGATTCATGAGGTATTTTATTTTGTTTTAGATGTACAGAGTCCAGAATATCTGTTCAGATTGATCTACTGATAACAATCTCATGCATCAGAAAAGCAGGGAATCTACAATTTGGAAGTGTCATAGTGCCCATCTATTGCATATACCTCCTTGGTCTTAGACCTCCAATATATAAACCTGATGGTCTTTGTTGGTCATGGAACCAATCAGATGTAAAGCTTTCTAAATAATTCCCCTGGCAACTTTTCTTGGATCCATATGGAGTTTTGATTGGTGAACAAGGAATGTAAGTTTGTTATATTGGGATGGGAAGAAGAGGAAGTAGAAAAGTGGGAGGGATACCCCAGTCATCATCATTGTTTGCAGCCATTGAATTTGCCTGTGATTGAAGCAAGTCACTGACCTTTGTCTCCCAACCAATTCCCATGACTCCCTAGACTCTTACAAGTTTAGAGTGGAAGCTCTTCAAGAAGAAACTGGCCATTTTCTCATTCATTTTGTCTTCAGAGTGTAGATCTCCCATCATCTGTTAAACACATGGTAAAACATTGATGAATCCCAGTAAATTAAGAAGAACCAAACAGATCAACCAGGAAAACCCAATGATATAAAGGTCCTTAGGGTACGGTGTTAACAGACATGAGAGTTTATAATTCTGAGAAAAAATCAGGAGGCCAAAGAAATGACCTTATATGAATAAAGCTAACCCATACAGTGAAGACAGTCAAGGAACTGTATTTATTAAACTAGGAGGAACGATGTTCCTCAAGGCAGTAGAGCATTCAGGCCAGGGTCATTTTGAAGACAAAGGTTCATGTACAGAGGACACAGGCCAAATAACCTCAGACTCAGGTGACAGGGGAAAGAAGACCTAGCATTGTGTTTGTGTCTATGTTTCTGTGATGCCCCATGAGGTCCTATTGTAGATTCTGGGAATGTGCTAACTCAGACTACATTTGCACTCAGAGAACTGCTCTGGTCCCAGTGTATCTTTTAACACTGGAAGACACACTGCGGTCTGATACCAGGGCCCTAAAATGCCTGCTTGAGAGGGCTCAGCATTGCTGAGTTAGGTGGTGGGCAGTCAGGGCCCTGAAACCTCTTGAGTAGTTACATTAGAAAGTTTCCTATTAGTAATCTCTCATCTGGCCCAGAAATAAATTTCTTCTCCAAAAGGCTTCATCAAGGACTCTCAGGACAAATTTACATGGAAAGTTTTTAACCTCTTTGAATGGTAGTCGTCTGGGTGCATAACCCTTGATCAGAACAAGGAGGATGATTTTTAAACTTCTGTGGAGTGTATCTAAAAGGTCTGTATATTCTCACAGTTGGAATGCTCCAGCCAAACTCTTGCTTGTTGAAGCCCACTATGTAGGGTACAGTGTTGAAACTCTTCTCAGCCAGGATCTCTTCTGGTGCCTTTTGTAGCAACTCTCCATCAATCACAGTGGACAGTGAGATATTGTGGTGGGAAAAACAGAAATACTGTACTTATGAATACCATACCTTACCTTTTTCCATATCAAAGAGGGATACAGATCTTCTTTGCTTCTCTGAGGGCTTGCTAAGCATAAAGACTCCTGTGGCTATGTCCACTCAAACCCTAAAGACAATGGTTGAACCTAAGAGACATCAAGATCAGAACTTTGCGATGGGGGCCAGCAGTGGCAATGCAATTGTGGTAGTGAATTGGGGAGAGAATTCACACTTATTAATAAGGGACGATTGCCTGTAATTATCCATATCTACATATGCTTACAAATAGTTGGCTTTGAGAAGTACTGAGCTCATCACTCGTAGACTGACTTGAAACCTTGTTTCTGTTTAGAGAAATAAAATACCACAGCAAGCACCAGATTCGCTCCAATAGGCTGATAATAGAAAATACCACCTGGGCATAACTATTGCCACCTTGATAAAGCTGATTAGTGAAGAGAGAATACTCTAAATCTCACAAGAGGAACTGATTTCTGGTGGAAGATGACACACTGGACTCACAAAGCCAGTCTTTTTGATATCTGGATTGGTATGTTTGCACGAACACCATAAACAACTGAAGAAAAGAGTGGGCATTTCTAAGCAGTAGGAAGGAAATGGATCAAGTGAGCGAGGAGCCTGTGTACAGGGCTCATTTCAGGAGAGTGACAGTGGCCTGGACTTGGGGGACTTCTCTGGGATAGTGTTAGAGAAGGGGTCTCAGAGTGAAATTATTTTTTATGTAAAATATATGGCACGTTTTTTACACTTGACTAAATTTCCATTGTGTATTCATAATACATTTTAATTATTCATTCTCTTGATAGACAGACATGTGATTCCATTTCTTTGCTGTTATGAATAGTGATGTGACAAATATAGAAATGGACAGGCAGAAACCAACAAAATCTAATTGTTTGAAATGTTTCATAATAAAACCTAATTGATTGGTATATATTCCTATTTAGCCTTTAACAGCCTAGTTATACCTAAGAAGGGAGTCACAATTAGTAAATTGTCAGGATCATATTGGTTTGTGAGCTTGTTTGTGGATGAATGTTTTGTTTGCCCACAGTGGGCAGCACCATTCCCTGGAAAGTGTGTCTTAAGCTATATAAGAAAACTAGCCAAGCATGTGTCTTTCCATGAGTCAGCAAGCAGCCTTCCTCCATAGATTCTGCTATACTTATTTCCTTAGCTGAACAGGCCTGTTTGAGATCCTGCTTCATGTCTTCCGTCAATGATGAACCATAGTCTAGAGCTGTAACTCAAATAAACACTTTACTCCACCAAACTGCTTTAGATCTGAGGGTTTTAATGAGAAAAAGGAAAGGAAAGAATAGCAAAACTATGCCTGAGCTGAGAGCTGAGGGGAGGGTACTATTTCAATGCAGAGAATGTACTTAATACTGTAAGCAAAGTCAGGCTTTTAAGAAAGTAAATGGCTTTTATTCTTAAGGAGTAAAGGCAGTAAGAAGGGAAAGCAGAGGCAGAAGATTTCAGGCAGACAGACGGAACGGGCCTGCATGAATGGGCATCTGGGAGTCAAAGGAAGACACTGGCATCTGCAACCATCAGACCCACAGAAGGGCCACTGCTGCCCAGGAATACTGATAGCTGCATGTGGAGGACACATGCTTTGCCCTCTTGAGTCAGAAAAGCCAAAGGCTTCTACTCTTCTGTTTACCTCATGCTCCACAACCTACTTATCACCAAGCCCAGTTGGAAATTCCTTCAAAGGTTTCTGCACTCCAGCCACATCCCATCACACAACTCCTCAGTCCCTGGTATGATACAGAATGCCTGCAGTGCAAAGACCCAAGCACTACAGTGCAAAGTCTTCCCATCAATCTCTTTGCACCTTCCCAGGCCTTTGTTTCTATAGTGCATTTCTACATTGCACATAATGTTAAGGTTTATTCCTGCAAATTAAGAGGCTGTTGTACACAGATCACAAATTTCTAGACTTCAGAGTAGGACCCTGTCTCAAAACAACAAGTAAACACAAAAGATTAAAATGAAAAAGACCAGTGTTCAGAGCTCACTAATCATGTCTCATGTTGATTCATAGTCTAACCTTCTTAGCTGAAGCAGGCCCTCCCACCTTGGTGACTTCCTTAAGCCTGCTTCTTCCTCATTGTCTTTGAATTTGAAGTGAGGAAAGCAAAGGGAGAAACGTAATTATAATACAAAAAATAAAATTAATGCAATTGTTGAGAGGTATGTATATATTGACAGACAAAAACCTTTCTTCTTAGGTAAAGAATGATTTGTTGTTTGGATGGTTTAAGGAATGAAAGGTATGTGTTCATCAGATCATTCGTGAATGGGGAACATACTGAAAATGTAGTAAGAAAATTATGGATATATTTCAACCCAATTAATGAAAAGATATGAATGATTGGGATGGTTGGTTGCGTGAATGAATGCATCAACACGTGATAGATGAATGGACAGGGAAATAGATAGATATTCTAGGACTATAATTGATGCAACATCTCATAAATTCTAGAGAAGTTGGCTACTACTCTGTAATCACTTAATTTTTATATCAACCAATAGATAATGTGACACTTTTCTGAAAAACCTCCTAATTGAATATTCTTGAAATCCATGATAATAGTTTTTGGTTTTAGGACTAAGAATATCTTATTTATGAAAATGTGACAAGAATGGTCAAAAATCAAGCTTTGATAGATTTGAAAATTTCCATGCAATTCTTCATCATGGGATATATAATTGGACTAATTCTTGACAGTTATAGTATTTCACAATAGAAAATGAAATTCGCAGTTGGGGTCAGGAAGTTGACACCCTTCCCAAGAGCTGAGAAATTGTCCCATAACAATCTATCCAGGGCAAGAACAGCAAAAGAAATAGTTTGGGGCGAAGAACACAGAATAGTAGTGACTAGAGAGTATATTCACCTGTACCAGTTTTTCTGTGATCTCCAAGATCTCACCTTCTGTCTTCTGGCGTAAACACTGAACCATGGCAGCTGATGAGGTGTCATTACACCCAGAAAGAGTAGCAATTATCTGAAACAGATCACAGGCAAAATCAGAGGTGAAGAGTAATGACTATATTCTCCGTCAGTATAGAAAATAGATTCTAGATTGTCCTCCTCCTCCTCTTTTTCCTCCTTCTGCTCTCCCTCTTCCATTTACCCCATCTCTCCCCTCACAACTTCTCGCTCTTTCGTTCATTCATTCTTATTTACAATGTTAATGACGATTATGAAGTTTTGTGACTGGATTTTACTAAGTATTATGGCTAGCCCAAGACTTACAACATAGATCAGGCTGACCTTGATCTTCCATTCGTTCTTTCTGTCTTTGCTTCCCAGGTATTTGGATTATAGTCATGCATCACCAGGTTTTGCTCTCACATTGTATTTTGTAAGGTGATGGAGGGTTTGTAATGAGCATAAATAGGCATTTCTCAATTTATGGTTTTTGACCCCCTGGGGTCAGTTTGCAAAGATGTAAATGCATCCTGCATATCAGATATTCACATTACAGTTCACAACATTAGCAAGATTATAGTTATGAAGTGACAGCAAAAATAATCATTTGGTTGAGGGTCAACCCTACATGAGGAACTGTATTAAAGGTTCTCAGCACTAGAGAGGTTGAGATCCACTGCTCTAAATTAGCAGATGTAGATACTATGCCCCACAGAGTATTGCCTTTGTTACTAACTGGAGTAATGAGATGAGGTGGTTATGTCACATATGTGCCTGCAAGTGTGTGTGTGAGTGCATGCACACATGACCACACACACACACACACACACACACACACACACACACACTACCCTGGGCACAATTTTTTCTAATTTGAATGCATCTAAAGAGGCCATTTGAAATAAAGAATGAGTTCTCTTTGGTTTTATACATTACTTCACCCACTGACTAACAACTTTGCTATAGGTGAACTAAGAATATGTATGTGTATATATAGATATATACATATACAGGTAGAGGTAGAGGTAGAGGTAGAGATAGAGGTAGAGATAAATCCTCATATTTCAGTTCCTGTGCAGAATCACAGGGTGTCTGAGTAACATGATTCACATGAAGGTATGCTAGAACTCACAGAATGTGTCTTTGCTCTGAGCCAAAAAGGTAATCCTTCTGCCCAGCTATTGTTACTTTAAGAATTGATTATCTGAGCTGCACCCCACAGTCAGAAAAGCCAGAGAAGACCCAAAAGTAGTTCAGAAAGCAATGCAGAAATGCCCAGATTGAGACCTACTTCATTAATAGCCTGGATATTCTTCTTGGCCACGTTTGTAGTGAGGACCACACTACTTTCAGAAATGGCTCTGTGGAAGAGGTTCTCGCCCAGAGGAGATAAGACCTGGTGGGGGAGAGAAGATTTTATTCTCCTAAGATGGGTTTTGCGGTTAACATCAAATTGGAAGAGAAAGTCTAGAATGACCAAGGAGATAAACCTGTTAGCATATCTGTGGGGGAGTTTCTGTATCACATTAATTGATGTTGGAAGATGTCTTATGGCAGCAGCACTCCTGTGACATGTGACTAGCAGCTTATCCAACACCTAGGCCTGCTTTACATGGGAATGCTGACTTACTGGGGCATCAGTCCAGGGTAAAGGGAACCAGGGAATAAAACAAGCTACAGCTGAATCCCAGATGTTTGAGCAAAGCTAAAGGGGATTGTCCCAGTCTAGGGTTTCCCATTCTGCATCTCAAACACCCTTGTCATGGTGCAACTTTCTGCAGATGAATTCTGTTGCACTTGAAAAGACATCACACTTGTTTGATTTCCTCACCCATGTTAAAAGACATGGTTATGAAGACCAAAGGCTGTCAATGAGCTTTGCAGTAGTATTTTCCTTTTGATCTGAATCCTCTCTATGGGCCCATGTGACCAGTCACCTCAGCTCTCATTGTCATAACTCCCTTGCTGTGGTAAATTGCATCCTTAAAGAGTGAATCAAAATAAAATCTTTAAGTTGCTTTGATGGATATTTCTCCATTGTAAGGAGAAAAATCACATATACTACGAAACATGACAAATTCGCTGTTTTGGCTCCTCCTATCCCCTGGCCATGCATTTGGTGATCTTGGTGTTCCATGAATAAGACTGCTTCTCACCCATCCTAGACCAACTCCTAGATAGCTTATTATTCTGATGTTTCCCAGGAGCATCTCAGTAGAGTGTGTCATGAATTCAGAGTCAGAAACAGAGTGGAAACACACTACAAGAACCTATCAGGGCAAATCCAAACTACTGGAAAGACAATACCAAAAAAAGTCTTGGTAATACCTACCTGTATAAAATATCTGCCTCTCCAATGTTCAAAATTTATCCTAACACAAAAGATCACAGAGACCTGTGAACATTTCTCAGAAAGTATTTGCATTTTTCAAATACTAAAAATTGGACTTAGCCCAAGGTATTAATATACCATTAAGTAAAAATTAAATTCATTTTTATAATGCAGTATTACTCAATTATAGACAGGTAGTAATATAGAAGAGGGGTTACTAATAAGGACAATATTTATATGTAACTATATGACAAGAAGCCTTGTGTGGACAAAGGATCTAAAAAGCCAACATCGCTGCATATGTACAGAAAATGAGGAAAGAGGGTATGGATGGAGGATAGATGACGCATGATGAATAGAGGGAAAGATATGGTATCTCATATAATTCTGTATAGTACATGAATGTATATGAAACTTTAGAGAAGGCTGAAAACAATAAATGTAACAGCCATGTGACAATCCCTGGGTTAGTTGTTATGCCAGACTTTATACTCACTAGGTGTTTAATAGATTTTTATCTTTAATTAAGAATTTTCCTGTTTTGAGGAGGTTGTTATCTGTGGATGTGGCTGCTAGAAATCTAACTTGGGTTTTCTGGAAGAACAGCAGTCAGCCAGTCACTGAGCCATCTCTCCAGCCTTCCCACACCTCTTCTTATGTTCTTCTAAATACTGATCATGTTCTCTCCTTACTAAATCTTATGTCGATATTACATGAAACAGTTAATCATTTTTTAATTAATTAATTAATTAATTAATTAATTAATTAATTTTTTCTTTTTTTATTGGATATTTTATTTACATTTCATATGTTATCCCCTTACCCCATCCCCCACCCACCCGGGAACCCCCCATCCCCTTACCCCTCCACCTTCTTCTCTGTGGATGTAACCCCCACCTACCTCCCCCCCACTCCCACTTCCCCAGTCTCAAAATTCCCACCCCCTGTGGTGTCCAGCCTTCATGAGGTCAAGGATCTCATCTTCCACCTGTGCCCGGCAGGGTCCTCTACTCTTACATATTCAGCTGAAGCCCTGGATCCCTCCATAAGTGTTCCCAGGCTGGTGGTTAGGACCCTGGGAGCTGTGGTTGGTTGGTATTGTTGCTCTCCTCATGGTGCCACAAACCCTTTCAGCTCCTTCAGTCCTCACTCTAACTCCTCCATTGAGAACCTCATGATCAGTTCAATGGCTAGTTGTGAGCATCTGCCTCTGAATATGTCAGACTCTTGAAGGCCTCTGAGGAGACATCCATATCAGGCCCTTATCGGCATGTACTTCCTGACTTCCACATCAGCATCTACCTTTGGTGACTGCATATGGGGTGGATACTCAGGTGAAAGGTCTTCAAATGGCCCCTCCTTCAGTTTCTGTCCCTCACTTTGTCTCCATGTTTGCTCCCTTGAGTATTTTGTTCCTCCTTCTAAGAAGAACTGAATCACCCCCACTTGGTCTTCCTTTTTTATGAGCTCCATGTGGCCTGTGAGTTGCATCTTGGGCATTTCAAGGTTCTGGGCTAATATCCAATAATCAGTGAGTGAATACCATGTGTGTTCTTTTGTGATTGGCTTACTTCACTCAGGATGATAATTTCTAGTTCCATCCATTTACCTAGGAACCTCTCGAATTCATTGTTTTTAATAGCTGAGTAATACTCCATTGTGTAAATATACCACATTTTTTGAATCCATTCCTCAGTTGAAAGACATCTGGGTTCTTTCCAGCTCCTGGCTATTATAAATAAGGCTGCTATGAACATAGTTGAGCATATGTCCTTGTTATATGTTCGAGCATCTTCTGGGTATATGCCTAGGAGTGGTATAGCTGGATCCTCAGGTAATGCTATGTCCAGTTTTCTGAGGAACCGCCACACTGATTTCCAAAGTGGTTGCACCATCTTGCAGTCCCACCAACAATGGAGGAGTGTTCCTCTTTCTCCACACCCTTGCCAGCATCTACTATCACCTGAGTGCTTAATCTTAGCTATTCTGACTGGTGTGAGATGGAATCTCAGAGTTGTTCTGATTTGCATTTCCCTGATGACTAAGGACATTGAACATTTCTTTAGGTGCTTCTTGGCCATTCGAGTTTCTTCCATTGAAAATTCTTTGTTAAGCTCTATACCCCATTTTTTAATAGGGTAATTTGGTTGTCTGGTGTCTACTTTCTTGAGTTCTTTGTATATATTGGATATTAGCCCTCTATCAGATGTAGGATTGGTAAAGATCTTTTCCCAATTTGTTGGTTGTCGTTTTGTCCTATTGACCGTGTCCTTTGCCTTACAGAAACTTTGCAATTTTATGAAGTCCCATTTGTCAATTCTCGATCTTAGAGCATATGCCATTGGTGTTCTGTTCAGGAACTTTTCCCCTGTGCCCAAGTATTCGAGGGTCTTCCCCACCTTCTCTTCTATTAGTTTCAGTGTATCTGGTTTTATGTGGAGGTCCTTTATCCACTTAGACTTGAGCTTTGTACAAGGAGATAAGAATGGATCAATTTTCATTCTTCTACATGTTGTCCTCCAGTTGAACCAGCACCATTTGTTGAAAATGCTGTCCTTTTTCCACTGGACAGTTTTAGCTCCTTTGTCAAAGATTAAGTTACCATAGGAGTGTGTGTTCATTTCTGGGTCTTCAATTCTATTCCATTGATCTTCCTGCCTGTCTCTGTACCAATACCAGGTAGTTTTTATCACTATTGCTCTGTAGTACAGCTTGAGGTCAGGAATGGTGATTCCTCCAGAGGTTCTTTTATTGTTGAGAATAGTTTTCGCTATCCTGGGTTTTTTGTTATTCCATATGAATTTGAGAATTTCCTTTTCTAACTCTGTGAAGAACTGAGTTGGGATTTTAATGGGGATTGCATTGAATCTGTAGATTGCTTTTGGCAAGATGGCCATTTTTATTATATTAATCCTGCCAATCCATGAGCATGGGAGATCTTTCCATCTTCTGAGATCTTCTTCAATTTCTTTCTTCAGGGACTTGAAGTTCTTGTCGTACAGGTCTTTCACTTGCTTGGTTAGATTCACACCAAGGTATTTCATATTATCTGCAACTATTGTGAAGGGTGTCATTTCCCTAATTTCTTTTTCAGTCTGTTTATCTTTCATGTAGAGGAAGGCTACTGATTTGTTTGAGTTGATTTTATAACCAGCCACTTTGCTGAAGTTGTTTATCAGGTTTAGGAGTTCTCTGGTGGAAGTTTGGGGGTCACTTAAGTATACTATCATATCATCTGCAAATAGCGATATTTTGACTTCTTCCTTTCCTATTTGTATCCCTTTGACTTCTTTTTGTTGTCTAATTGCTCTGGCTAGGACTTCCAGTACTATATTGAATAGGTAGGGGGAGAGTGGGCAGCCTTGTCTAGTCCCTGATCTTAGTGGGATTGCTTCAAGTTTCTCTCCATTTAGCTTGATGTTGGCTACTGGTTTGCT